ATAAAAATTTCTTTTGAAAATACATTAATATCGACTTTCGTTAAAAATTTTCAGATAAATAAATCCTTCAAGCAGAAAACTAAATGTGAATTATAACAAATTGGAAAAATTAAAGTAGCAATGTAAAATAATTTTTCAAAATTAATTCCCTTCGGATGAATCAAAATAGAAATGCGTCGGTAATTCTTCGAATAAAATCGAATGGTTCTTAAATACCCTGCCGGATGATGCACAGCGAGTTTTGTAAATGTCTAACGTTTAATTTCCGTCCCTTATCTCTACATACTTGCTTCGAAGGAGCCGCCGAAGCAAAGCCGCAGCGGAAGTGGAACCGGGGTAGGGTAGGGTCACGGGGGGGGAGGACGAAGAGGTCACCGCGGTGGCGGCTCTCGAGGAAAAAGGGTCACGCAAAAATGGCGCGTCGGGGTTTACGAACCACGTAAATAGACGACGGGGGCGGGTAACAGGGAGACGGAAGTAGAGGTGGTGAAGACGGAAGTGGAGGAGGCGGCGGCGGTGAAAGTGACGGCGAAGGTGGAGCCCGGGCGTCGCGCTCCGTATGGATCCGCACGGGCGGATTCACGGGAGGGAGGGAAAGAGTCCGCGGTCCGTGCTGGGCGCAGGCGGGATGCATTTTGAGTTGCAAGAACCGACGGGGTTGTACGGGCAAGATGGTGGCTCGATACATGGTTCCTCTCGCAGCAAAAAAAAAAAACTCTCTATGGAGTTCTCGGCGACTTCGAAGATAGTTACGCATCAGATGAATAATCTAATGTTATAATCGAGAGCGAAAGTGGGGATTAAGGAGATATGTTTATTATACTTATGTTTATTATACTTATATATCGATTTTGAAGCTTAATTAGTGATCACGCGGACGTAAACATCCACATCAAGAAGCGATCGCTTTTATTCTATGAACATAATTTTTTTGCCAATCTTCTAAAAATGTTGGGCAAAAATTAAAAAAGAAGAAGTAGAAAAAAATAATATGTAAGAATCTTTTACAGCAAGTTCTAATGTAATCGTTATAATAAATTCGAATTTATTTTTTTATAGTAACATTTCTTATCGCGGCAGCCGTTGGAAATTTTTATGTATTGCACACAATGAGTAGCAACCGTATGTTACACAAGCTAAGCGAACAATATTTACAACGTTATTTCTAAGGCGCTAATAATCAACTGATTCGTCGCGGTTTTATTTCCGAGATAGGATCATCTCGATGACGTTCTCCATTTCTTCCCATTTCAATTCTTGCTCCAGTTTTGTCATCATTTCGAGATTAATCCGATCATTCGTCGCATTCGTTCGATTTACAACTATTTCAATCCAACCGGTGCTGTATTTTCTGTTTAACACGTTTACCAGCCACTCCCAGCTGCTTCCACGTATATCTACAAGCGCGTTCTAAAGAAAGTAGACTACAGAAACCCAGATGGTGCGGATTCACCGTCACCGGTAAGAGGCCAGTCGATGAAGGAAAATGTCGGGGCCGCTCCCGGAGGTGGAGGTGGTGGTGATGGTGGTGGTGGTGGTGGTAGTGGTGGTGGTGGTGGAAACGGAAAAAAAGAGAGAGAGAAACACGGTTGTGGAAAAGGTCTGGGAAACCCGGCCGGGCGACATTACCTCCCGCGAAAGGTGGGCTCGTAGGTGGAGGCGATGAAAGCTCCGCCTCTCTCTCCATCGTGCTTTCCATCGCGTCCGCGACGCGTTTTCCTACTTACGCGCGAGTTCACGCGCGAGAAGCTCGCCCCGAGCTCGTCTCCCCGCAGTCAATCCCGCGAAACGCCGCGAAAGACGCCTCTACCCCCTCTACCCCTCCGCCCTTCCCGTCCCCTTCCGGGTCATTGAACTCTATTCCATCCTGCTGCATGGAAATGAAAACGCTCGGCGTTACCGTCGAACTGTCGGCGATACTTTGTGTTGAGGAGGATAACGTCGTAGATATAGACCGATGGCGGAAACGGTAGGCGATCTTAATAACGGATAAGAGACGAATGCAAGAGACAGACGAATCTACGAAAAAGATGCTGGAAGACAGCTTGAGGAAATTTGATGGATTTCTCGATAATATCCGCTGAGAGATTTACGTTTCTTCAGCGATGAATTTGTACATTCGTGCATTTATGCATTTAAATACATTGCGTGATGCCAAAGTCTAAATTTTTCTTAAATATCAAATTTTATTTAGAATGCATGAAACATTTTCAAGCTTGTGTGAAAAAAAAAAACATGTTCTTTTATTATTTTCTCATTAAATGATATTTTATTTAGTCTTTCAATATCAGATTTCTTAATTATTCATATCTTGTTACAAAGAATAAATTCTTGAATTAATCAAAGGATACAATGGGAGAAATTTAATTCTTATCTTATTACTTTATCTTAAAATTAAATCTCTGGAAAATCCACGCTATTTGCGCAACATCTATCATTGAAGATATCTCAATACAATTTTAAAAATATTACGAATTTCTGTATTTTTTTAATACTAAGTAGTAAAGGAGTAACAAAAATTCTCAAATAATCACAATAACAAGCAATAATAAATTATACAACAATTAATTCAATCTTTTGTTAGCGAGACATATTAAATTGTCTTCGGTAACATTGTAAGCAAGTGGCTTCGAAATTTACGAAGCCGGAACGTGATGCGCACAGTTTGAGCTAACTGTCGAATCATCATTGCGATCATAATGTGAATCAGCGGTCAGGATACAAGAGATCCACGACACATCGACAAAACCGCGACCACACGTGGCAGCCGCTCGCGAGCGTCTGGCACGATCCGCGGTCACGTCGGTCCCCGGAGGAGGCTGTACGCCGTCGCGGCGGGGCGTGTTTCTCGCTCGACGAACCCCGCGGGCGGAAGGGATGACGGCTCGTGCACGGCGCAAGTCGGCCACCCGTTTCCGACGCCTGCGGACTCGATTCGTACCGCGGGTCGCCGCCCCCTTTCGTCGAAGGGGGGGACAGGCCGCGTCTGAGAGGTCCTTCCGTTCCCCCCGCTCGGTCCCCTCATCCGTGGCACCTTCGCGGGCGTCGCCGCGAAAGCCGGCGGGAGAGAGGTCCAGGTGCGCAATCCTCGCGGCGTCTTCCACGCGTCGTTCCTTTTCGTTCCCTCGTCACTCCCGTCCTCCCCTTTTCCCCCCTCAACAACGTCGTTCCCCCTTCCAATTGCTTTTTTTTCTTTTTGAGCCATTCTCTCCGTCTCCGTCTCCTGCGAATTTCTCGTCCTCTCTCGGAGAGAAGTAAGATACACACACACACACACACACACACACACACGCGCGCGCGCACACAAATTTAGAGTGAGAAAGGTGCAGCCGACCGAATATTTCACACACGGATCGCGAAGGTCTGCCAAATTCGATTTCTGCTCGCGTAAGATTAATTGGAGGCGATAAGAGACGGCGAGCGGTGAGCGATAACCGCTTTAACCGATGAGTTAACAGTTAGAAAAAAGTGTATCCTTAATTTTATAAGTTAATATTATACCGTAGTAAAAGAAGAAATTGGGAATTAGAATTGGGTCTAAGGTTTGCCAACGTATGAGTCTCTTTTTAATATTTTTAAATTTTAAAAGATCAATTATTACAAATGTCAATAATCACTTTTGTAAATATTTCATTACTTGTAATTTTTATAATTAGATTTTTCTATTACTTCAAAATTGCGATAATTTCAGAGATATAACACAAATCTCTTATATTATTTAGATATTAGAATCACATAACTAAAGAAAAAAATTTGTTTATTCAATAATTAAATATTTATATGAGTAAAAGAATATTTATTTAATTACTTTTAATGAATATTAAAATATCGATATAATAAATGAATATTAAAATATCGATATAATAAATTTTTAATGTTTTTAGATAAATTTTTAATATTTCTAAATATATATATATATATATTTTTTTTTGTCAAGTAGCGAATTAAATAAAAATTAATAAGAACGCGTTACAAAATTATAAAATTGAATTTAAATAAAAGTTTATTTATATACGGCTTGAAAAAATTATCTCTGCTCTTCTTTAAATAAATAGAAGAATATTGCAATAATTTATTGAACGCAATTTATTACAAAATTATGTATTTATTTTAAGCAACTATTACATTATTTAATATTGTCCCATTATGATGATGGGTGGCCTTAAAAATGGCCGCGCGATGGTAGCATTTAATCACGTTTACATCGAGGCTCGAGCAAGCTTCGTATCGAGGTTGCATATCAAGTTCTTTCCATTTATCAAGATAAGTAGGAAAGAGTGTGCAATTACTTACCAATAGAGACATCGCAGGTAGGTGACAAATTAATGCTGTTGCGAATACGGCATGCAGCTGCAGCGTTATTCATGGTCTACAGGTGCGATACAAAACGAGGCGACAAGTTACCTACGGTGCACTTCCTGTTGTATGCAAATGCATTCGGCGGGAGCTGCAGCAAAACACCATCGGCAATTTATTTCCGAAATAATCGTTGACAATTGGAACTGCTGTCGACGCGCTTGTAAAACGGAAAGGCCGCTTCCGTTTTTTTTTCCCTATTCGTGAAATGCGCGATAAAATTATGCGCTGGAAACGCGACGATTAAGTTGGCAATTATACCTATCTTGCCGCGTTTTCATTTCATCTTGCTATCTTGACACGCGATCTTTTCAATAAGCAACGAAGATAAAAAGCAGAAAGTGCAAAGTGGTTTCAATGCGTGGGAAAGTCTCGAAATGTAATATTAATGAGAGAAACGGTATCGCGCAACGTGAAAAGAATGTTGACTTCGTAAGGCGGTTCTTTTAAGAAATTGAACTCGAAATTATATAAAAATGTATTTTATTTTCTTTCTGTAGAAGAAATATACACCAGACAGAAAAGGATGTTTAGCGATGATAATTTCAAAAGTTTAATATTATCTTCTTTCCATATCACACACAAAATTATTTTTTATTTATATATTGTAACTTTTGAAAATAATATTGTCCTAAATAGTATATCATAAAGCTAGCTTCTCTATCAAAATATCGTTTCTAATCTTTTTCTATTAACTACGACTCAAGTAATGTAATGAAATAGACTTCTTTTTTGAATTTTGAAAAATTAATTTGAATTTTCAAATTTGTCTGTTTATTTCTCTAAATATATCTTTCTTTCTCTTTGTTTCTCTTTCTCTTCCTCTTTCTTTGTCCATTAAAAGATCTATTTTTTTATCTGAATGTTTTAATTATAAGAGAATACATACATTACACGCTTATTGTCACGCAGGCGAAAAATATATTTCCACATAAGGATAATAAACAAAAAATCCATATAATAAATATATTATTTATTTAACTTTTATATTATTATTATTATAATAATCAGTTGCAGTATATTTAATCTATACTTATAAAGAAACCGTCAGAACTGCCCTCCATCGATTTGAGTGGGTTTTGAACACATTATAAAATGACATTAAAAAATAAGACATTTTTTTTAATATGCTTTCTCATGCGTTTAAAACAATCTTTCGAGGCTAATATAAAATATTTGATTTCACATATCGATAAAAATACTATATAGAATACAAAAATACTCGAGAAAAGAGATATTATATTTCGCATATTTTATAATTACATATCTATTTTCGAAAATGTTGTTTTTTTTTTTTTTTTTACCTAATTTACTTCTTTCTAATTTAAGTATTAAAAATTCGGTCCGTTGAGAAGAGATTGTTTTAGTTTTTAAATATTTGAGAAAATATATATATAAAAACATATACATTGTTCTACAACGTGTCTAAAGCTCGGTGAAATAGCTCTGACTGTTTCCTTATTAATAACCAATAATATATAACGTAATGTAATCAGGATCTGACTTGAGTGAGATATGACTGCATCTTTGTGTGTATCTTTGTATATGACATTGCATGTATGTGAGCGTGTTAAATATATATATATGTATCTCTGTATTTGTAAATGTATTTATATTGAATCAAAGGCACAATTGGCGTTTTTGAACGAACAACAATAATTGACCTACGTGTTTTTCTGTATCGTCGTTTTAACTCTCGTCACTTCTACTCATGACTCTACTCTATTTCAGATTCAACAAAAATCGTCAAAATTCTGACGATGTCAGAATTGTCTCCAGAACCTTGGAAAGATGAACGAGAATTAACTACGTCAGCAGAGAAGTCATATCGCGCTTTTGGATCGTCGGCGTCATAATTGTCTTCCGGAGCTGCTATTCTAAAAAAAAAATCGAGATACGTGCGTTGTATCGGGCGGATCATTTTTTTAGACATACATTTTGCCAAATGAATAACAATGTTGAATTACTAGTTTGGCACTTAATTCGTTTCTGTATTCGACGAAGTTAAACGTGAACTTGAAGACCCGTGTAACAACATACAAACGAAACATACGACGCATAGTTCTATTTGATTAACCATTGTTGCGATTGCAACAACGTGTCGCGTCTGGTCTGGTCGTCGATGCTGGTGCGGCTTAAACTTCGACCTTGTAGGGCGAGCCGGGGATATGATCGTCGCCCCATTTAACGATCACGATGTACTCGCCCCGTTCGCGCACCAGGTAACTCACGTTGTAATTGTTACGGCCTGTATGCTTCACGTAAACTTCCTCGCACGGTCCCTTGGGTCCATACACCCCAACATACAGAATGTTGTTACCTGCAATTACGACATTTGATTAGGATCGATTAAATCAAGATAAAAAATTTAATTAATTTCCAACATTCTCAAAATTGTTATCTCGATTTGCAGTCACATAGAAATATAAATTAGCAGCGCGATAGAGTAACGATGCTGCTCAGAAATGCTTGCACATAATTTTATTTTACAGAGAGGAATGATATGATCGACGATTGCGATTACATACCGGCATCTCCCGCGTGAACAGTGAACTGATTTTGTTTTCCTAAATAAGCCTTCTTCAGGCCCATGCCTTTGCTCGTCACCTTACTCGCGTCGGACTTGAATAATGGCAATATCGGTCCGGTCTGCTTGCTCTTTGATATCTTTTGTACGGTCTCGACGACGATCGAGCTTGTCTCTTGCGCGCCTCTCTCCGCCAAATCCGCGCCTGCGCCAACAGACAGTTTTTATTTTATTTTTTACAGTGCATATTTTAAGAATAATTTATTTTTAACAAAACGCGGAAAAATGCAGGATGTAGAATCGCGCACCTGTGCAAGGAACCTTGTACGGTGAACCTACGATGTGGTAACCGTTATACTTGATGCTGATGTAGTAATCGCCTGGTACCAAAGGCGTGTATCTGACCTTGTAGCCCTCCTCGACCTCAGTACAGTCCATAGCGACTTTGCTGGGTCCATCCACGGTGACGCCTAAGGCACCGCAACCCGCGTTGCAGGTGTCGATGATGAAATCGGTCTTCTGACCGGTTTTGATCTCCTTCAAACCGTTGCCATAGGCGTGCAGGGCCGCCGGATCGGCGTCTACTTTCCCGACCTTGACGCGATACGGACTGCCCGATATGTGCACTCCATTGAACTTGATGTGGATCTGGTGAATGCCATTCTCCGTCGGCATGAATCTCACCGAGTACGTGTCCGCGTCGATACTCTGGATGAAGCAATCATCTTGGATGCCACTCGGCGACACGATCTGAAAGGATAACGAATCGATTAATTTGATTTAGAAAAACTCCCAGCTAAAGCCTAGTACCTTATCGATCTCTCATAAAAAGCGTACAAATATGAATATTTGAAAGCAGTCCTCTTTTACAAATTAATAATATTATTCTGCAATCTAAGGATTTAAAAAAATTTTTTTCAATAGCTAGATATTATATGATATAAAATTTAATACTTTTCAAACTTTGGAAAGTTAAGTTGCAAAGAGCAAACCAAGTTAAAGAAAAGTAAAATGTCGTGATTTTTCCAATGGGCGACCACCGAAGGAGAGCCGTTACGAGGATGACGCTACCGCTTTGTGTCGAAATCCTCCATGTGACTCATCCAGCTATGTACATATGGCGAACAGTAAAAATACGTTCGCCGCGGTCCCACCTACGCGGTCTGATGTGGCGGCGATCGTTTCACAAGCGCGCAAGTTATTTATATTAACCGCACCTCCGCCTTCTCTCTTTCGCAAGGCGATATATCGCGGCGAGCGAGACATGTCGCGAACATGTTACAGCTCCTCGAGTCGCCCCTTGTTACCAAGGACGGAGAAAGGGCAGTTTACCTTTGCGTCCAGTTCACCCTTGGCGCCGTTCTTGCGCACCAGGAAGGTGCACGGTTTGTCCGGCTGGACTCCGCTTTCTGGAAATTGCGCGACCTCGAGCTTGTGCGCGTCGCCCATCGCCGGCGAGATGTAAACCTTGTGCGGCGAGTCGGGGATGTGCTGATCGTTGAATTTGATTCCCACCCTGTATTCACCTGGAAGAGAGCGACGCGACGCGTTAAATAGATAAATTAAATAACGTAAAAATTGCGCTAAAAAATTATACACTTTTTAGCGCAATTTTATTAATCATATTAACATTAATTATATTAATTTTATTATTATTTAATGCTAAAAAATTGTTAATAGTAAACACGGAGCCTCCAGTTTATATTGAAGAAATAAATATAATCGATTATTATCCAGTTTATATTGAAGAAATAAATATAATCGATTATTATCGACAGAAGATATATTACTTATATCTTCTGTCGTAATTTAAATTAAGATTTTTAAGCGGAATAATAATTTGTGACAGTTCAGTATAAAATAAGAAGAAGGAGAATAAGATATATCGCAGACTGTTATTTCACAACTAGGACATTTTCCTATTAATACAACTAATATTTGTGATTGTATCAAGAATATCTTGGTAACAAGATAACAAGGTGGCCATGTTAATTATTTGTGCAACACGGCAGTTAAATAAAGTACAAAACTTTTGAAGGGAACTGTTTTCTGCTCAATGGACGAAGAAGGAAAAATCCGTGAGAACATCCGCGCGCCTAAAAGTCGAACTAACCATCGCTTTCCTGAGATTCCTGCTGCTCGTTTCCGGTCAAGATGATCTGCGTGGTGGCTGTGAAGGTAGCCATCAACTTCAAGCTACGTCACGAGTTTCGCCGGAAGTGAGAGTTCGAGAGTTAAGAAATCGGGTGAGATTCGGCTGGGGCAAACGAGAAGGAAATCAGGGATAGTCGAAAGGATAAAATCGGGGAGGGGGAGGAGGAACGGAAAGTGCGAGAAGAAAAAGAAAAAGGAACAAAGAGGAAGTAAAGGGTGGAGAAAAGAGAAAGAGACGAACGATCGCAGCTGCAGCCGAAGGTTGATCGCGTACCACTATTTTTCCCCGAGTCGATCCTGATCTCGATTCGTCAGCGAGCTTTCTCCCCCCCTCGTTCTCCGTATCATCACGTTTCTGTTTTGCTCGCGCCCCCGTGCCCCCGTCGATCCCCCCACCGCGTCGCAGCCCGCTCCCACGGGGCCCAAATATAACCATCGCATGCTAATCCGCGTCCAGCCGCGAGTGGCCAACTGCGGGGCCAAAATATAGATCCACCTTAACAAATATAGACGACGATATTTCGGGATCGGAACCGAAAGGGAGAGAGGGAAGGGGAGGGATGGAAGAGAGAGAGAGAGAGAGAGAGAGAGGAGGAGGAGAGAGAGAGAGAGGAGGAGGAG